CCTGCCCCTCCCCCTCTCCACCCCCTGCCCCACCCCCTCCCCCACCCCTCCTCCACCCCCACTCCTCCCCCTCCTCCACCCCCTCCCCCCTCCTCCACCCCCACTCCTCCCCCGCCCCCGTGGATGGCCACACCTGATCCACGTGTATCCGAGTGTGACCCAGCGCTGTGTGGAGACAGCAGCAGCAGCGAGGGTTGGTGAATCACTTAAAGATTGTTTCGAAACTCCCTTCCCTTGGATGGAGGCGTCGTGGAGGAACCGTACCCTGGCTCGCGAGGAGAAGGCAGTACAGCAAGTGGACTAATCTCCATCCGTGTCCATCCGTATGGGGGTTGGGATAGAGCGTGGGTTGTCTCCGTGTGCTCCGGTCTCCTCCTCCTCCCCACGTGATTAATAATCACGACTCGTCGGTAATCGGCTGACAACATCTTACAAACAAACACCTCAATGGGGCAGCAGCGGCAGGACTCTCCTGGCAGTGAGTCATGTGACTCAGTAGCGTGGCTCTCTGAATAAAAATATATATATTACGTGGATGGGTTTTGTGTGCATCCATCATATTCACCATGGAGATATAAAAGGATGGCAAGTTACCATTCTTGGCTGTTTTAATCGAAAGGAGACCAGATGGCTCAATGGGACACTGTCTACAGGAAAGCCACCCATACGGATGCATATCTTAAACCTGACTCCCACCACCATCCTTCCCAGAAGAATTCCCTCATCTAAACTCTACACCATAGAGCTCGATGTATTTCCGACCATCATCACCTAGCCAGTGAACTGGAACACGTACACCACGCCCGCAAGATGAATGGATATTCAGACTACACAATCCGTAAAGCTATCGCCCCAACCTTGGTAAAGAACCATCTGAGGACCCAATCAAAACCATCACCTTACCATACATACAGGGGTCACTAAAATATTTCCAAAATCATGAGCAAACACAAGATCCAGGTACGGTTCAACACAGTACATACAATTCCTGATCGGATCCCATCTGTGAAGGATGTGATCCCTGACATGCAATACCCCGGCGTCTACAAACTAAGCTGTGTTTGCGGCAGTAGTTACATTGGGGAAACTAAGCGACATGTCTCGGACCGTGTTCGTGAGCATAAGGTAGATCTGAAATACGGTAGGACCAATACCTCGGCCGTGGCTGATCATTGTTTTAATGCGGTGGGCTCGCACGAAATAGATTTTTCTAAGACGAAGGTACTTTGCAAACCCACTGGCTATCAACAAAGATTCGTTCATGAAGCCATCCATATATATAGACAGACACAATTTCAATCAAGAAGATGGGTATAAACTGAGCAATCATTGGAAGGACGTTCTCAACCAGTTTAAGTCATAGCTGGCTGTGATGTTCCCATCCTACGACCTTCCGATGTTCGTTGTTATTTTCGACTCTCTGATTTGACATTAACAGGTAAAAAATGTCACCCTAACACAGCCACCTTGCTCACCGAGCTCGAGGTTTTTTCTGCTTTGCGATCTCCCATTAACATGCTAATCTCTCACATTAACATAGCCACCTCAGGGCGACCGTGTGGAGGCCGCTTAACGATTTTACATTAACACGCTAATTTTTACTGGGCAGCCCTTTGATTGGTGGGAAAACCCACCACTGTCGCGGTCACTGCCCACCACTCACATTATCATTGGCTGCTGACATTTGGGCTATGCCCATTTCAAACCTTTATCAACAGTTTATCTTTAGAAGCTAACCCCCTCTTCCTGATGACGAACGCTTGTGTTGCGATCGAAACGTCGTAGTTCTTTGTTATTTCCTTTAAACCTATCTACGTGACTTTACCGAAAGACCCAAAGAACATTTTGTGTACATGTTAATGTGTATATAGGATGTGTGTATATGGACTATGTGAACACACACACACACTGCAAAACTGGGGTGGGGGGACATACAAACACCAAAGACAAAGATCCCCCATATAGCCTTAACAGACCCAGACTCACACACAGAGACCCATAGACACAAAGAGACCCATAGACACACACAAAGACCCATGACACAGAAACCCAGAGATATACACAGAAATCCAGAGACTCACAGAGAAACCCAGAGACACACATAGAGAGAACCAGGCTCACACAGAGAGACCCATAGACTCAGACAGAGAGAACCAGGCTGACACAGAGAGACCCATGGACACACACACAGAGAGACCCATAGACTCAGACAGAGAGACCCAGAGACACACAGAGAGAGAACCAGGCTCACACAGAGACCCATAGACACACATACAGAGACCCAGAGACTCACACAGAGAGACCCAGAGACACACAGAGACCGAGAGACTCATATAGAGAGACCCATAGACACACACAGAGATCCAGAGACTCACAGAGAGACCCATAGACTCAGACAGAGAGAACCAGACTCACACGGAGAGACCCACAGACTCGTATACAGCGTAGAGCTCCCTCTGGTGGAGGCCTCTCCCACCAGCAGCAGCACAAGCGACAAATCGCGGTGCTGCACCTTCACGGGGCCTCGGCCAGGGCCCTGCCACGGGAACGTGGAGTGGCGCCAGTGCGCCGTTGCCACGGCTTCCTCTCACCGGCGGCGTCGTTGTTGGGGTCGCGATGAAGGCCGGGCAGGCCGGGCAGGCCGGGCCGGGCTGGGCTGGGCCCTGCAGGCCGGGCAGGCCGGGCAGCGACGCCGGCCTCCTCCTCCTGCTGCTGCAGCCCCGAGGCAGCTCCACCGCGAACGACTCCGCGCGCACACAAAGACAAAGGGCCCCCACCCACCCGGGTAGCCTCGCCAGAGTGTTGGGGCCAAGTCGCTGTGAGCGAGCTGCGCCTACGAAGAAGGCCGGCGCTGCGTGTGGCGCACGAGGGGGCCGGTGGGGGGCCGGTGGGTGGCCGGTGGGGGGCCGGTGGGGGGCCAGCACCACGCCCGGCACCTCGAATTGAATCGCAGCTGACGGCATGGACAGACACGGGGCCTGTTTATTCCGTGCTGCGTATCACCGTGCTGCGTTTTGTGTCGAATCAGGACCCACAAAAAATAAGCTAAATAACTCTGTGCTTTGCCTGCAAAGATTAAACAAATTGCTTAGTTTTATTTGTATATATTTATTAAAGTAATTTGTTTACCTTTCTTACACTTTGCACTCCTATGGCGTTGTTTGCATTGTCGTGGCGACGTTCTGACTCCGTGCCCATACTGAGCATCTGTGAAGAAGCGCTTTGGAGCTCGTCGGATTGCTCCAGCATGGACACAATGTCACGATATCTGGCAAAGAGAAAGGGCGAGGTGGGGTGGTGGTGGTGGGGTGGTGGTGGGGTGGTGGGGGTGGTGGTGGTGGTGGTGGTGGGGTGGTGGTGGTGGGGTGGTGGTGGTGGGGTGGTGGTGGTGGTGGTGGGGTGGTGGTGGGGTGGTGGAGTGGTGGTGGTGGGGTGGTGATGGTGGGGTGGTGGTGGTGGTGGTGGGGTGGTGGTGGTGGGGTGGTGGTGGTGGTGGGGTGGTGGTGGTGGGGTGGTGGTGGTGGGGTGGGGGTGGTGGTGTGGTGGTGGGGTGGTGGTGGTGGGGTGGTGGTGGGGTGGTGGTGGTGGGGTGGTGGTGGGGTGGTCCTGCCTTGCCGAGGGACTGCTGCGTTGTTCTCTTGCTGGGGCCTGGGACTGTTTTTTGTTGTTGCTGCCTCCCCCAAGCTTACATTTAGTGTAGCGTTGTAAAAAAAAATCGACAGTACTCTACGTACTTACGCAATGTATACTTTTATTTAATTTATCTTTTATTATGTTTTATTATTTTATTATTTCCCTTCTACGTGACTTTACCGAAAGAACCAAGAATATGAATCCCTGCAGTCACGAAAGCTTTAAATCGAAAAAAATACAATGTATACTGATTTTATCATTTTATTTTTCGTGACTTACCTTTTCTCTATGTTGCACTCCCTATCGTGTGTTGGTATTGCATGTTCTTGTTGTTGGTGTAACTTGTTGACCCGCCCCTACTGGACACCTGTGGAAAACACCTCCAGAGCTCACGGGATTCGTCCTCTGGTCTAAATAAAGATGCTGATTCTGAACATCTGGCTGCTCACCACCATTGATTTAAAGAATATCCCGACTGCTGGTGAAACACCGGATGTCGAAACCGGTCCAGAGTTCTCTCGGCTTGTGTTGAACCAACTGCTGACACGATGCGACTCCCAGAAGGTCGGCTGATGGGATGTGTAAATTTAAAAAAATCAATATTCTTACTTTGTATGTGGAGGGACAGCTGTGGGAAGGGGGAGATCTGCTTATCAGCGTTTGAATGATCTGTCCCCAACCGTTGCAGGACATTGCTGTTGGTGATTGTAATAATTCAGCAGTTGGGGGGCTAAGCAGGTGGGGGGCTCGCCCCCCCCCCCCCCTTCAGTCCCGGCTGACCTTCGGGAGGTCTGCACCGTGCGGGGTTAACGAGGTCACCGCCCACCCTGCCAGCGCTCCCCCACGCGTCTCGCCCACTCACCCCTCTCACGCTCCTAAGATGAGGGGTTGTACCCCCCCCCCCCACCCGCGAGTGTTGTTAGTGGAGCTCCTCTTAAGGTCAGAAGGGTTCAAGAGGGGGTGCGTGGTGGGGTCAAACCACGCACGGCCGCTTTTGTCTTCCCAGTGCTCATGTTTTTTTTACACCGCACCAGGTGCTATTTTTAAGGCTGAGTCAACCTAGGGGGTAGGTACAATTAAGACCGGTTCGTTCAGATATTTGTTCATGATTTTGGCCGTGAGTCGGGAATTGAACTCGGCTCACCGGGGTTCGAAGCGCTAACCACTGCGCCACCACTCCTAACACACGCACCCTCGGTACTGCCTCCCTCCCCCCGCCGCCTCCTTCCCCCATCCTTCTCGTGACGTCACCACCCACAGCTGGTGGCGGGGGGAGGGGGGTCCCTGGCCCCCCACGGTCAGCCCCCTCCCCCTCATTGTAAAAGCTCCATCCCTCACAGAGGCGGTCAGTCTCCTGGAGACACAGACAGAGGAGACACAGAGACACAGACAGAGGAGGCACCGAGAGAGGAGACACCGAGAGAGGAGACACCGAGAGACACAGAGACACCGAGAGAGGGGACATAGAGACGAAACACAGAGACACAGACAGAGGAGACACCGAGAGAGGGGACACAGAGAGACACAGAGACACCGAGAGAGGAGACACCGAGAGAGGAGACACAGAGAGACACAGAGACACCGAGAGAGGGGACACAGAGACGAGACGCAGAGACACAGACAGAGGAGACACCGAGAGAGGGGACACAGAGACGAGACGCAGAGACACCGAGAGAGGAGACACCGAGAGAGGAGACACCGAGAGAGGGGACACAGAGGAGACACAGAGACACAGACAGAGGAGACACCGAGAGAGGAGACACAGAGACACCGACAGAGGAGACACCGAGAGAGGAGACACCGAGAGAAGAGACATAGAGACGAGACAGAGAGAGACACACGCGCTCCACACTCTCCCCCGTCTCTCCTCTCTTCATCGCTCCAGCCAGGGGTTGGTGGAACACGGCGGGACGGGCGCTGTGGGGGAAGCAACGATGCGAGCGGCTGGGGAGGCGCTGGGTCCGGCGGGGAACCCTTTGACCCCCGAGGAGTCCCCCGAGACCCCGAGCGAGGAGGAGAGCCCCGTGCTGCCGCTCCACCAGCTGGGCAGCGTGGGCTGCTGCTACAGCCGCCTGCGGCAGCTGCTGCCCGGCATCTCGCGGGAGCAGCTGCTGGGCGAGGCGGAGCTCCTGCGCCGCGTGATCGACCACATCGCGGCGCTGCAGCTGGCGCTGCACGGCGAGCCAGAGCAGCAGCAGCACCAGCAGCAGCAGCAGCACCAGCATCAGAACCAGCAGCACCAGCAGCACCAGCAGCAGCATCAACAGCAGCAGTAACAGCAGCAACATCATCAGCAGTAGCAGGATCAGTAGCACCAGAAGCACCAGCATCAGCACCAGCATCAGCACCAGCAGCAGCATCAACAGCAGCATCAACAGCAGCATCAGCACCAGCATCAGCAGCACCAGCAGCAGCATCAGCACCAGCATCAGCACCAGCATCAGCACCAGCAGCATCAACAGCAGCAGCAACAGCAGCATCAACAGCAGCTTCAGCACCGTCAGCAGAACCATCAGCAGCAGCAACAACAATAACAGCAGCAGCAGGACCAGTATCTACAGCAACAAAAGCAGCAGCAGCAGCTGATGCAACTCCAGCAGCAGAAGCAGCTGCGGTTACAGAACCACAGCACAGACAGGTGTGTGTGTGCGTTCGTGTGTGTGCGTGTGTGTGCGTGCGTGTGTGTGCGTGTGTGCGTGTGTGTGTGCGCGTGTGTGTGCGTGTGGGTGTGTGCGTGCGTGTGTGTGCGTGTGTGTGCGTGCGTGCGTGTGTGTGCGTGTGTGTGTGCGCGTGTGTGTGCGTGTGTTTGTGTGCGTGCGTGTGTGTGCGTGTGTGTGAAGGTGTGTGCGTGGAGGTGTGTGTGTGAAAGTGTGTGTGCGTGTAAAGGTGTGTGTGTGTGTCTAGGTGTGTCTAGGTGTGCATGTGGAGAACGGTAATGCTGCAGTTAGCACGCTGAGCTGCGAACCCGGCGACCCGAGTTTGATACCCGCTCGCCGCCATCACCAGTGACGATTATTTTAACCGGTCCTGGGCCTCCCCTAGGTCGACTCAGCCTCAAATGAGTACCTGCTGCGGTGTGTAAAACATCGCCACTGGGGAGACAAAGGTGGCCGGGCGTGGTGCTGACCACCCACCCCCTCGTGTGCCGGGCCGGCTATCATAGGTGCTACCACTCGCTAACAGCACTTGCCCCAACAGCCTGTTAAGACTATTCGGAGGATATTTGTCTTTGTGTTCACGCGCGCACCTGTGTTGTGCAAACGGCAGGTGAGCGTGGACCAAGCATGACACCGGGCTTCTGATGATGGTGTGGCACCAGACATCGGACACACACACACCGCATCACGTGGTGTGGCACGAGATGACATCGGACACACACACACACCGCATCACGTGGTGTGGAACCAGATGACATCGGACACACACACCGCATCACGTGGTGTGGCACGAGATGACATCGGACACACACACACCGCATCACGTGGTGTGGCACGAGTTGACATCGGACACACACACACCGCATCACGTGGTGTGGCACGAGATAACATCGGAGACACACACACCGCATCACGTGGTGTGGCACCAGATGACATCGGACACACACACACCGCATCACGTGGTGTGGCAGGAGTTGACATCGGACACACACACACCGCATCACGTGGGGTGGCACGAGATGGCATCGGAGACGCACGCAGCACGTGCAGGGATTGAATGGACCTCAGCTAAATAAAGTTTTGTGTTTTACAGACCGTGTCTCATTGTCGCTTTCATTTATGACGCAGCACTCCCCCGGCTCCACCTTCATCTTAAACCCCTAGTAGGAGATGGGCGAAGATGTAATGGGGTGAAAGGAGCGAGAAGGAGAGGAGGAGGTGATGATGATGATGAGGTTAGAATGAGGGGAAATGTTGGGATGACGGTGACAGATATCTGTGAATAAGAGCTGCATATCTCATCGGATTCCAGCCTAAATAAAAATTCTGATTCTGATGGAATGCCGGTAAGAAGAGGAGTGAGGAGGCTTGGTGATGATAGAATATGCGACGATGGTGGTGGTGATGATGATGGTGGTGGTGGTGATGATGCTCGTCAGAGCGAGAGAAGAGGAGATAGTAAAATGAGAATTGTTGAAACTATGACGATCATGGGATGTGGGGAGGCTCGGTGATGAGGATGTCAGAATGAGAATTTCGACGAAGACTGGAGGAGGAATCCGATGAGCTATGAAGCGCTTTGTCACAGATGTCCACTAGGGGCACGGGGTCAGCAACAACTGGGGATGATGGCGATGCTGGGGGGCTGGGGAAGGCGCGAGAGAAGCTGATGATGATGCTGGGAGAGGCAGGGGGAGGGGTTGGAGGGAGGGGGTGTTGGGGGGGGTGTTGGGGGAGGGTGGAGGGGTTGGAGGGGGGGGTGCCCTTGGTTTGGTCACAGACCCCAAGGTCACACAGGGTCTCGTTATCCGCGCGTCCGTGACTATTTTAAGTGTCGATCAAATCAAGGTTTCTGCTTAAATACATCCCGTACTCTATACATAGACGAAAATACAAAGATGCCCCGTATAGCCTTTCACAGCCTCTCGAGACAAGTGCCGTGAGCGAGAACCTCACGTTCAAGGCCGACTGGGCACACGAAGAGCGGGTGACCAGCACCAGTGCCGATGTTTAGCACACACCGCGCCAGGCACTCATTTGAGGCCGAGTCGATCTACGGGGAGGCCCACGGCCGGTTCAAATATTCGCCACTGTTATTGGTGGTGAGCGGGAATCGTCGCCGAATTCGTAGCGCAGTGCGCTCACCATTGCGCCACCGCTCCCCACAGAAATATAAACAAGGCTGACGCCGCAGCTGTGCTGGCTTCACGCCACGAGCGGGGAGCTTTGTCTCACCTGACAATACAATTTGGACCTTCAAATAAACACTCTCTCGCTCTCCGGCTCTCGAACACAGCCCGCGGGATCATTCAACATGAACGCAAACTCACCACAAGCAGGTTGCTTGCCTGTACACATCGGGCAGTTGACAAGCATTTATTCAAGCGAGATGGATACTGTCGATGAGTTCACTGTGTGTCAAAACCAGTCCTTGCAGATGTTTACAGAAACCCTAACACTGCTGATGAGTCACTGCGTGTCATAACCGGTCCAGAGTGTTGCTTGTATTGAGTCAATGATGCTGCACCCACGCACGCCCAAGTGGTGCGGTTGATGGGACGCGTAAAAAGACACCTTTTGTTTGGTAACGGAGAGGGAGGGTGTGTTGGGGGAGTCGTGACTGATGAGATAGTTTGAGAAATAACGAGCGGCTCACCTCGTCACCTGCCTTCGCTCTCCTCTCTCCCTGAGGTCCGCGACCTCAGTCACGGCTACACTCAGGCTCGGCTCTGGCTCAAGCTGTGCGTGGCTCAAAGCCACGCACAGCTTGAGTCGGCTCTGAGCCAGTGCCGGATGATCCTAGTAGCACATGTGTAGTAGCTACATGTGTAGTAGCTACTACACATGTAGCTACTACACATGTGCTACTAGGATCATGTGTAGTAGCTACTACACATGTAGTAGCTACTGCACATGTAGTAGCTACTACACGTGTAGCTACACATGTAGTAGCTACTACAGCTACTACATATGTAGTAGCTACTACATGTGTAGTAGCTACGGGCCCCGCACTTTCAAGGGCCCCGCGCTAAATGCTTTCAAGCTGTCAATTCCGGTTCAGTGATTCTACACTTGCTCTATTACTATAGTACTATACCAACTTCAACTTTTATGAACGACCGGGTGTTTAAGGTTAGCGATTTGTCGTATTATCTGGCTGTATAGCAAATGAAAAAATACAATTACTTTACTATGCATGTTAAGAATTTGTGTTTTAATATTTATGTGTTTTTTATTTATTTAAGGCCCCTTTATAGCATATGTTACAGGCCCCGCGCTAGCTTAATCCGGCACTGCTCTGAGCCATGGTCCCAGCCCGGAGGCTCAAGACCCTGAGTCTCTGTGAGTCTCCGTGAGTCTCTGTGAGTCGCCATGTCTCCCTGCACAGCCTCTGTACTTCTCCCTCTCCGCTTTCACCAACATCTCACCTCTCCCTCCACTCCCCTCCTCCTCCTCCTGCCTCCAATCCGCCCCCCTCTTCAATCCCTCCCAGTGGTCTCCCTCCCCTCCTCCCCCCTTCCTCCTCCTCCTCTCTCCCCCCTCCTCCCCCCTCCCCCCTCCTCCTCCCTCCTTCCCCCTCTTCCTCCTCCCCCCTCCTCCTCCCTCCTCCTCCTCCCCCCTCCTCCCCCCTCCCCCCTCCTCCTCCCTCCTCCCCTCTCCTCCTCCCTCCTCCTCCCTCCTCCTCCCTCCTCCTCCTCCTCCTCCCTCCTCCCCCTCCTTCCTCCTCCCCCTCCCCACTGTATTCATCGGGGGTCGATGCGGTTTAATTGTTTAATAGCAGCGATGAGCAATGCCATGATGGGTGGTGGGGGAGGGGGGAGAGGGGCACGGGGGGGGGGGGAGTTTGAGTCTCGGCTGCGACTCTCCCACCCCCTGCTGGACGGGTTTATATTGAACAACGAAAACTCGACACTTGATGTAAACGTGAACACAGTTACACGTGAACACAGTTACACGTGAACACAGTTACACGTGAACACCCCTACACGTGAACACAGTTACACGTGAACACAGTTACACGTGAACACACCTACACGTGAATTAGTTACACGTGAACACAGTTACACGTGAACACACCTACACGTGAACAGTTACACGTGAACACAGTTACACGTGAACACATCTCAACGGGAACACAGTTGCACGTGAACACACCACATGCTGGATGGGCTCACACACGGCAGCATCGACGTCGTCACCCCCCCCGCACCCTCCACCAACTTCTGCTAAATCTTGGCGGGACCCTCCTGGGAAGGAAAAACAACACAACAAGAGTCTTGAGACTCGGTGGGGTGAACAAAGCGGGACAACGATCACCACGGTTCTAGACTTGAAGCTTTCGTGACTGCAAGGAATCATATTCTTAGGTTTTTCGGTAAAGTCACGTGACTTTACCGAAAACACCTAAGAATATGATCACCACGGTGGCAGAGAAGTGGGAACAGCCCCTCGGTCTCGATGCCGCGCGAGACGAGACGGTGCTTGCCACGCGGTGGCGCTCGCGACGCGTGGCCGGCAAAAACCCCCGGGACGAACGCGCGAAAAACCGGTAACCGATTGAAACTAAAAACCGAAGACGGCGATGCGTGGCTCACGTCACCTCTCACCGCCGACGGGAGAGGCGGGGGGGAGGGGGTCGAGGTGAGTTATCCCCCGCACCCCCCAACCCCCTCCCCCCGCCCCCCCAACCCCCCCCCCCCCGTCCCCCCCCCCGCCCGTGATCCAATTACTTCGCTTCCTGCCGGAATCGCGCCCAGCTGAGTGGAACACCAACTCGTGTTGACATTGCCCTGCCGTCCCTAGCAACCCGCCTCGCCCCTAGCAACCCACCTCGTCCCTAGCAACCCGCCTCGTCTCTAGCAACCCATCTCGCCCCTTAGCAACTCATCTCGCCCCCTAGCAACCCATCTCGCGCCTTAGCAACCCATCTTGCCCCTTAGCAACCCATTTCGCCCCTAGCAACCCACCTCGTCTCTAGCAACCCGCCTCACCCCTAGCAACCCATCTCGCCCTTTAGCAACCCATCTCGCCCCTTAGCAACCCACCTCGTCTCCAGCAACCCGCCTCGCCCCTAGCAACCCATCTAGCCCCGTAGCAACCCATCTCGCCCATAGCAACCCACCTCGCCCATTAGCAACCCACCTCGCCCATTAGCAACCCACCTCGCCCCTTAGCAACCCATCTCGCCCCTAGCAACCCACCTCGCCCCGTAGCAACCCACCTCGCCCCTTAGCAACCCACCTCGCCCATTAGCAACCCACCTCGCCCCTAGCAACCCACCTCGCCCCTTAGCAACCCACCTCGCCCCTAGCAACCCATCTCGCCCCCTAGCAACCCACCTCGCCCCTAGCAACCCACCTCGCGCCGTAGAAACCCACCTCGCCCATTAGCAACCCACCTCGCCCCGTAGCAACCCACCTCGCCTCTAGCAACCCATCTCGCCCCTTAGCAACCCACCTCGCCCCTTACCAACCCACCTCGCCCCTAGCAACCCACCTCGCCCCTTAGCAACTCACCTCGCCCCTAGCAACCCATCTCGCCCCCTAGCAACCCACCTCGCCCCTAGCAACCCACCTCGCGCCGTAGAAACCCACCTCGCCCATTAGCAACCCACTTCGCCCCGTAGCAACCCACTTCGCCCCCTAGCAACCCATCTCGCCCCCTAGCAACCCACCTCGCCCCTTAGCAACCCACCTCGCCCCCTAGCAACCCATCTCGCCCCCTAGCAACCCACCTCGCCCCTTAGCAACCCACCTCGCCCCTAGCAACCCATCTCGCCCCCTAGCAACCCACCTCGCCCCTTAGCAACCCAACTCGCCCCTAGCAACCCAACTCGCCCCTTAGCAACCCACCTCGCCCCTTAGCAACCCAACTCGCCCCTAGCAACCCAACTCGCCCTTTAGCAACCCATCTCGCCCCTAGCAACCCACCTCGCCCCTAGCAGTGGCAGCAGTAGTAGTAGTAGCAGTAGTAGCAGTGGCAGCAGTAGTAGCAGCAGTAGTAGCAGTGGCAGCAGTAGTAGCAGTGGCAGCA